CTGACGCCACGCGGTATCGCTCGCCACCGGCAAATGCGGCGCCCGCGGCTCGCTCCAGTTTAGGGGTTAAGGGTTTAGGGGTTTGGGGTTTCAGGGTTTAAGGGTTTAGGTGTTAAGGGTTTAGGGTTTAGGGGTTTAGGGTGTAGGGTCTAGGGTCTTGGGGTAGTGGAGAATCCTATGGAAAAGGGATAAGGAAGACGGAACGTGAAACGCAAGCTGCGTTTACAATTGTGGCCATAGGGTGTTTAAGCTCCCCTCAAAGCCGACCGTCGGGCTTTAGATTCCTCGGTGGGGGGGATGGTAGATACGTCTGAGTTTTCACCCCAAGTTCCTAGCCTTCTTGGAGCCCTAAGCCCTAAACTGGAGGCATAGGCCCCAAGCTTGACCCCTGACACCTCCATCTTCAAGCCTTAACCGCAACTCAAGTACCTTGACCTTGGGCTTGACAACGAACCGGAGCAGACGCTCAACATCCAAATTGAACCTAGAGGCCCAGAGGACTAGGCACCCCACCCAACCCCACCCAAAAATCATTAGTTCAAAATATGGGATATTCAAGCTCCATGTGTTGTTCATTCGGGGCTTAGACCTCCGTGATGAGCCACTTAGTGGCATGGTTATCAACGAGCGTGAAGGGTGGGGATAGGGTTGAGTATTCTACTTTGAGGAGGTCCCTGACATACTCTATGTCCATTACACTTGCAAGTAGTATCGCAGCTACGTGGTGACAAGACCATCTACCATAGACTTAGACTGACCTTGCTCCAGGATGCCGGAATCATTGCATTGAATGCGAGACTCGGCCGCAAAGTCCATGAGGGAAGAGGACAGTGGACTCATGTATTGCAATCCCTTCCCCGTAAGCCTTAATCACGAGTTCCCGCCGCCCCCACGCGCTAAATGAGTGGGGCATTCAAGTTTCGGGGAGCGCATATGCTGGAAAATACAAGGGCAAGCGAACCATGAGCTGAATAGGTTTCTTACAATTCGACCAAAAAATTAGCAGGGAGACGTGAATGACTGGAAGTATGTGCTCAGGTATTCTGGCAACAACTGTAGTACACTGCATAGTATACTACAATGAACCCTAAGCCCTAAACTGTACAATACCTCCAAAATCCCTTAAGATTGAAGATTGGGTTGTAGTCATGTTGGACCCCTGGCATAGTCTAACAGGACGCCCAGGCTTTTCCTTGGTACCCAGCGAATAGGAGAGCTTCTCAAAAATCGTCTTTGTCCTACATGGGGTTTCCCAAATCAGGGGTACCTTATTTCAAGTCCCAAGAACGAATGGAAATTACCAGATAGCATCCTCATAATTCCAAATATAGGTACCTCGGGTTTTGAGCAACACCATATAGGAATGCGATACTCCTTGGTCCTTGGCGGCTGTTCTGGGACTGTTGGTGCCCGTTACGGAGAAAATGCCCCTGCGGATCCTCGAACCCAAAAACTGTAGAACATGGAGTAAACCCTAAACCCTCTTGCATTTTGTGCTTCGCACTTGCAGCCGGCTCCAAGGCATTCCAATTGTTCCGTCCAATCGGTCAAAGCCTGCGGGGGCTCTGTAAGCCCATGTTTCATCGATTCTAGCAAGGCTGAAGGTTTTCAGGGGTGTGGGTGTCTCCGTCAAAGAAGGGGCTTGCCTCGTAGCAACTAGTAGCATGCTCTCTCTCTCTCTCTCTCTCTCTCTGTATATGGCGTTTGCACTCTTTTGGGAGTTCTCAGAATGAGGACTCATGGCGTTTGAGGGTATGTAAACGAGACCACTGTTTTTGGAAACTCTCTTGATGTGAGGGGTCGCTCAACAGCGGCGTACTATAGCGACCCATAGCGGATATGGGAATTTCGGGCGTCCTTTTCGGGATTGTATGGGTGTCGCTAGGGAGCACTTTCATATGTGGCTCTCCCTTTCTGTCTTTTTTCGGGGATGCCCTCCCCCGGTTACACCTAAGGAGGCATAGGAACGTGCGTAGCTTCTCTGCTTCAAATGAAGCTGGTCATGCTACATCGCATTTTTCCTGCTTTGTGTTTTGCAGATTGTTGCACCGTTGGCACGGGTCTTTTGACAATTCTGCGATTTCCAGAAGCAGGTCTCCTTTGCACACAGCTTCACGCTGCCAAATGATAGGGTTCGTCTCCCAGGACCTTAGGCCCTTTAACTTCTGGGGTTCCCCTCTATTCCTATTCCAGGCACTAGAAGTCAACTTCTAGTAGGCGTGCCCCATATTCCCAAAAGTTAATTACTTCTAGTAGGGATGCTGAGGGCCGTGGTATTCAGGCTTTAGGGGGTTCACACAAGGAATTTCCAAACTCTGGAGCACTTTCATCACAGGAAGCCCGGAAGCTTGTGCGAAAAGACGATGAAGATCTTCGCTGATGTCAATGGCCCCAGCACTTGATGATTCGAGTAGGTACATTTGAGGAATACTCCCCCCTAATAGTAAATATTCCCTAGATATTATCATATACCACACTGAGGAATGTTCGATATTAGTGGGGCCTCCCCCCCAATATAGCACCATTACATAGTGGAGGGAGTTTTCCGTAGTGTAGAACCCTGTCTCTGCCATCCAAGGCTCCTTTGAGCTTGTTAGCACATCGTCCTTACTTTCTGACTGTTAGCATAGGAGCCCTTGTGGTTCATTCCTCAGAACCTAGGCTCTTATCATGGGTTCCAGTAGTACCCCCCTCTATACTACCCCCCCAGGGTCCCCCGTTGATTAAGGTTATTTAAGGATAATTAGGCCTAATTAAGGCTAATTAAGGGGGGAATCCATACGAGCAACTCGCCCGTGAATTCAGTTTGTGCATACCATTCTGGATTCTCTGCCTGGATTTTTCTGATTGCTGTATTGTGAGTCTGGTTGGCGGATCGGAGGTTCTCAGAACTTATGGGAGTACGTTTTTTGGGGGGGGATCTCGAGCATAAGGGATCCAACAGTCTGGGTGATGCGTGGCCGCTACGCAGCTGTAGAAAGTACCATCATGAAATATCATGAAGGCAGAGTAAGGCAGTGGCACATGAGTATCAAGCATGAGTATCAGCTCATCGTAGGCAATGCGGGATTTTCTCAAAGTTAGCGTTCCTGTTTGCTATGTTCCAGGGATATCGGCCTACGTGAGTTTGCTCTTCTCACCCGAGTCTATTCTTTTAGCTGTAGTGTTTTAAGTGGAAGAGCACCAAATCATTTGGTTCGACCACTGAAAAGCAGGGAGCAGGACGTGGACCCAACCCTGAACCTCAAGCCCTCAAGCCTAATCCTGAAACCCGAGTGCGAGGCATTACAAACGCTCATGATATGAAAACATGCCTTGAACCCTGAATGCAACGCAGTCAGCCCGGTTCAGCTAGGCTTACGGAGCGCAGTGTGCTACCTTTGCCCTCTACGTGCAGCCCTTCGGAGGCACGATGCTGGGGAGGTGTAGGGTTTGTGGTTTGGGGATCTGAGTCTTATGTTATGGATCCCGCCCGTTCCAAACTCTTGCCGAGATGTAGGAAGCATAATCTGGCGAGGGAGACTGGAGGTCGTCGTAGGACGTATCGCAAAACAATTTGGGACTATGGTTTTGAAGTCGCAACTTTTTGTCACAGTCAAAGCCCTGGAGCATCTGAAATTCTTGTGTTCCTTCCCCACAGCAACCGTTTTTTGTTGACATTGTACATGGCATCCTCCCTGCATGGATCACTTCAGGCTCAGATATACTGATACTGGTGATTGCTTTATCATCTTCAAGATGCAAAGGTCAATACTCCGAATGAATCCGGTCTTGATACCCGTACGCCTTCAACAATCCCTCCATTTCCATTTCTGTTGGGTACATCCTAAACCCAAAACTCTACCCTGCTGGGCTAAAGCTGGAGAGAAGGAGTGGATCCCAACGTTCATCCTATGTATATAGTTGTCGAAATACCGTTACAATGGTACATACGCTGCCCGCCACGGCACATAAGCACTCGTAAGCGCAGGTATCTACATCACCGGGGGCGTCACAAAGAAAATCCGAGACTGGCTTCTAAAGGAAGGGTCCTTCTTGAAGGCCTACTACGACAAAGGCCTGGGGGAAAGAGGGACGGGACTCATGATAGGATTTGGGCATAGGATCCAGCATGCTTAGATAAGCTTGGACGTAGTTGGACGTAGGTAGGTGGGTTGTCTCCCCCTATAATAGCCCTTTTATGCGCCTAGGCTCCCCATAAAAGCACCCTTCGGGTAACTCCCACCTGCAATTTCCTTTGATGTCTAAGCAGGAGTCGTGGGTTGAGGGCTTGGATTTCAAGATTCAGGGCCGCGATTGCGTGTTTCCAGAAATAGGAATACGCGAGAATCCTGATTATGGGAAAACCAGGAAGGGGCCCTACTGTAATTTCGGGGATTTGCAGCTTAAGTTCAGGCTTGTTTTTGGTAAGGTTGTTCAATATGGTTATGTGATCCATAAATCAGAAATTCTCCTTAGTCACGGCGTAAGGCCCCAATCCAGGCGCTTCGGCTGCAAGCCTGCAAGCCAGCTTTGCATTAGTTTTTGCAATTAGCCGCAATTTTTCCCTCCTTGACCACAACTCCAGTTTGGAGATAGTGGTGCCATGTCGAGCAATCAACAAGTTTCGTCTTCAAGCGATGCAGGAACCGTGTTGAACCAAAGCAGGCAAGTACATGCTGGTCAACAGTACGAGGCAGTGCAGAGTTTGTTTTGGAGGCAGGGACAGGGCAAGCGCAGCGCGCCTACACCGGCCCATAGCGGACTCCACGACGCCGGCCGAGGCACCGGAGGCAGATGAAGCGGCCCGCATGGAGGTTGAAGCCGAGGCGGAAGCTTCGGCTCCAACCCTCTTGCAGCCCTTCTCGCTGCAGCAAGACGCCGCCCTCGAGGTTACAGTTCCGGCCCAAACCCCAAGGACCACAACGCCGTGCAGCAGTGGTTGGAGAGGCCGGTAGCCAACAACAGGGAGCTCTTCCCCACAATGAGAGCCTATCACGAGCAGGTGATTAGGCCAGAGATGTACTCCCTCATCGTGCAGCTCGAAACTGGCTTAAAGACGCTGAACAATGCCCTGTTCACAATGAGGCGCGAGCTGTCGTGGATGACAGCGGAGAACCGTCTGGCTCAGAAATATGCTTGTGGTGTCCAGCTTCTGACCAACGGCTGGCCATAGGGCCTGACCCCTCTGCAAAGGGAGTACCAGATCGGGTGGATGCTGCAACAGACACCCAAAGTCGCAGCATTTGTTCATGACCGCGGCCTTGTCACAGACCACAACGCTCGTGAGGTGAAGAGGTACATGAACGCGCTCACCACCGAGCCGACCACTGTTCCAGCTGGCAACGAGTTTTACTCTTCGATGACGCTGCTAACGTTCAAAGCCTTCGAGCTCCGCAGCGACTTCCTGGAGAAATACGGCGGCCCAACTGGATGTCCGATTTACACGGATGAGCGGACGGCGGTTAAGGGCTACCACGTCAAAGTGGCACCGTGTTCGCCACAATGGCAACGCAAGCTGGAATCTCCCCTGAGAGTCTTGTTGGCCTGCATTAATTCAAGTCCAGACCACAACTCCACCTCCAGATTGACAGTGCTTTGGAAAACACTTACTCTCCTTGAGCCAGTGCAGGGTGATGACTTCAAAGAGGACATCACCGCCTGGGCCAGATTGTTTTATTTTGAAGAAGATGGAGAGTTTAAAGGGAGGTTGGAGATTTGCAGGGACTTGGAAAAGATTTTAATGAGTGCCTCCACTGAGACCACAACTCCTGAGCCCACATTGTGGGCCCAAAAGTGGAATCAGGTGCAGTGGGGAGCCCAGTATGAACTTGATCAGGCTGAGGCTGCAGCATTTGCTAAAGCAAGATCAGAGGCCACACCCACAGGCAAAGGCCTTCAGCTGGGCAAGGCTAAGAGGCACTGGTCCAATGCTGCGGTACATGTCAACTATTATGAGCCGCTTCCTTTCCCTTTGCAGTTCATTGTTGTTGACCACATCTATTTCAGTTGGGATGAGATGTGCGACAAGTTCAAGAAGCAGGAGCATAAAATTGGAGATTACTCAATTGCCACATGCGGTGGCAAGCCTCCAGCTCCTGTGGTTTCCGATTTGCAGTCGCAGGCTGCTGCAGCAGAAGCAGCGCCAAAAAAGGGATCTCAGACCACACCTCCAAAGTCAAAAGGGAGGGGCAGGGGCAGTGCCTGATGGTGCACCTGCAGAATTTTAATGGTCTCAGCACGCGGCTGCTATTTCAATGCATGTTTCTTGCAGAGATTGTTTGGGCCACAACTCCCCAACGCTAGATCCAAACTTTTGACCTCTGCCCACATTCAGGACCCTGAACATCAGTGCACATTTGAAATTTATAAGGATGCCAGATGTTCTCTTCAAAGACCAAAACTACCCCTACATGGGTCTTTGGAGAAAAGGGGACCCCTGTTTGTGACAGATCATAGCCAGCAGCTCTTTTTTGCACAGAGCCAGGAGCACTCAAGAACTTGCTTGAGCACAAAGCCTTTTTTCCAGTCAGAGATCTTGATCATAACTCAACAGGGTGTTTCAGAGGGATGGGATAGAATTCAACAAGGTAGGAGAAACAAACTTATGCATTCTAAGAATGGTAACACCAGGCTGGTACTTTTCCAGGATGGCCACAACCTTTGTGGAAGTATTAGCTTAGCCTTTATGATAATCTCTTCCCAACTCTTCCAATCCTTGAAAATAATTCTGAAGATGCTCAACAGTCTATACCAGGAATTTTCTGCTGTTGAATAAACCTTATGCGGATAAGTCTCAGGGTCCCATCATCCAGACCACAATTCAGTTTCACTGCAGCGCAGTTCCCGCCGTCCCTTCTAAAAGAACAGGCAGGCGCCGTAGAATCCTTCTCCCCAATGGCCACATTATTTTTCGGAAAGTTGCTAAGCACAAACCCATGACCCTAATTAATAATTCACGGAATTCACCACAACGCCGACCACCGCCTCCGAGAGGCGCGCCGGGAGCTCCCACAGGGAGCCACGAAGAGTGCCCCACAGGGCAAGGAGCTAAAGAGCAGTCTAAGGGGACCAAGCAAAGGAGTGCCCAAAGGCGGGCCTACCGCGCTTGGCAAAGGCAGCTCAATCAGGATAAGGCAAAGGGGCTGGACCCCCCTCGCCTGGCTCCGCGCCGGTCCAAAAACGCCGCTCTTTCAAGAGCAACATGGTTCCGACAGCATTTGTTCTGGCAGGAACGAGTGCAACGCAGGAAAGGTAGGAAGGTTCGCAATCTTCCGACCACAACTCCTTTAGAGTATGGTTCTAGCCTTAGGTTTGGGGCTCTGAATGTTCAGGGTATGGCTGATACCCTGAAACTCAAGAGTTCCATTCAACTCATGGTTGAGCATAAGTTGGATGTACTGCTTCTCTCCGAAACTAAGTCCACCTCCTACTACTCCTATCTATCTGAGCAGTACTTGGTCATTTTGTCCGGTAATGCTAAGGATAAGAACGCAGGCGTAGGTGCGATCATTTCTCCTAAGCTCGGACCACACCTCTTGGATGTTCTCCAGGTCAACACAAGAATTCTACATCTCAGTTTCAAAAAACATGGAGGCAACATCCACTTGATAGGAGTTTACGCCCCACATTCAGGCTTAGAGCTTGATGAAGTTAGGCAACCGTTCTGGGATAAATTGGAAGAACAAGTCTCCATGATCCCGCAACCAGAACCAGTTCACATTACAGGAGATTTCAACGTACGATTTCAGGCCACTCACAGGCACGATGAGGGGGTCACAGGACCTTATGTTTTCGGTAAGGGCTCCAGGTACATTGACCACAACTCCTCCTCCAACAGGTCTCTATGCATAGGCTCCATGCAGCGCTTAAACATGGTGGACGTTGCAAGCTACCGCGCCCCAAATCTCATGCACCATATCACTTACAGAGATAAGGCAGCTCCTCCAAAAGACTGGTCTCAGTTTCTGATGGATCCGCTAATCATGCAACAGGTCTATGACAAGATTCATTTTGGACTAGGAGAGTACGCCTTAAGCACTGCATCAAACATAAGATCATTTCTGGAAATGGACACCCTGCTCCCAGCCCCAAAGGTACTTCCTCACCTTGACCCAACCTTGTTCCAGAGGCTCGACCACACCTTCACTAGGAGACAGTGGCTTAACTCCATCAACAAGTGCAGATCAAAACTTAACACAGGGTTTCCCAGTGATCATTACCTGCTGGTTACTGATGTGAAGGCTAGGCTTTCGGCCCGAACCCCCCGTCCGCCCAAACCCCCTCAGCTGGATTTGGTGACCTCAGTGGAAAACAAACGCATTTTCAATGAGGTACTTCAAGATTTATGGGAAGATCCAGAGCAAATCCTCACAGACCACAACTCAGAAGAAGTAGATAGGGTGTATAAGGGTGTTATTTTCACAGATGGGTCAGGGACTAGGGGTAAGTGCAGCAAGACCACACTTGCTGGATGGGGCTGGTGTTACCAGCGCGACGACCAGTGGGTCGAAGCTTTTGGGCCAGTAGTTACTGATCCTAATCACCTTCTCTATAGGGGAGCTCAAGTGGGATCTAACAATACTGGTGAGCTAACTGCCATCCTTGAAGCCATTATTTATGCCATCGACCACAACTGGCATACGGTCACAATTAAGTCGGATAGCCTTTGGTCCAGTAAGGTAATTAAGGGTGTCTGGAGAGCTATGAGACACAAACAGCTGGTTAACTACATCAAGTCTCTCATGAGAAATTCAGATCTCAAAGTACACCTCGATTGGATCAGAGCACACGTAGGGTTTGAAGGCAATGAAAGGGCAGATAGGTTAGCAGAGGAGGGAAAGAATAGCATCGGCCGTTTTGGCACTAACTCCTTACCTCCTACCATTAGACCACAACCAGTGACAGCGCCGGAGGCTAGCGCGGTAATAGGAGGTTTAAGGGAAGCTGCTAAACAGACATTTCACTATAAGCAACTTCAGCCGGATCTCTCAGGCTACCCTGCAGAAACTTGAAGAAGCTAGACTGGCCGAGGCCAACCAAGACCACAACTCAAGTTATCTACGTAACCTAGCTAAGAGGTCCGCGCTCAAAGACAGAATACAGTGGATTCACGAAAAACTCACGGATGATCACAGCCAGTATCAACAAGAAATGTGGAAAACAATTCGGGGTCAAAAGCAAGGCTTCCAGGGAAAAAAGAGACACCTGGTAGTCAACGACAAGCCGGTTCCGTGGTCTCAAACGCACAAGGCGTTCCGCGAGCATCTCCAAAACAGCCAATAGCAGAAACCCACAGGGGACACCACCAACGCTGAAGTCCTGAACGCCCGGCGAAAACTTCGCCAGTCGGTGGTTGACCGCAACTCCTTCTCCCTTGAAGATCTTCAGACTGCTATCGCTAAACTCAAGTCCCGTAAAGCTCCAGGCCCGGACGGAGTTCTAAATGAGCTGTTCATGATGCTCGACGACCAAAACTCTCTAAAGCTCTTAGAATTCTACAACAACATTTGGGAAAGGGGGGATGTTCCTAACGAATGGAAGGAAGCCATCGTAGTTTCAATTTATAAGGGTAAGGGAGCTGACACGGACCCTGCTAACTACTGCCCCATATCCTTGCTCAATTCCATTTACAAGCTATTTGCTGCGATGTTACAGAGTCGTTTGGCCAACCAGCATGAATCACATATTCGGGCCACGCAGTACGGTTTCAGGGCCAAGCGCGGAACTATGCATCCCCTGTTTATACTTAGACGGGCTATGGGGTGGTCGGAAATGACGCACACACCGCTTCATTTCTTGCTATTAGACTGGAAGCAGGCATTCGACTCTATTGACCACAACTCAATGATCACAGCTCTTAGACGGTTTGGAATTTCGGAACGGGCGTTGAATATTATCTCAGCGATTTATACGGACCCCACATTCTATACTACGGGTATGGATGGGTCTCTTGAGAAAGGTTCGGTCGGTTCAGGCATCAGGCAGGGCTGTCCGCTAAGTCCGTATCTTTTCGTGATGGTCTTAACTGTACTTCTAGAAGATGTAGATTGGGGACTTTTGAACAAGGGTATACCAACTAATACTTGGTCCACTGGTAAGCCGGTATATGACCTGGAGTATGCGGATGATACCCTACTTATAGGGAAGACCACAACTCAATTGCAGGCCATCTTAAGAGAGGTTGAATTGCAAGCACAGCTGTATGGCATGCGCCTCAATTACTCTAAAACTGAGGTCCTGCACGACGTTAGACGGGTTGCCCCTAAGCTTACCTTCTTGGACGGGTCCCCCGTCCCGACCACAACTCAGGCTAAATACTTGGGTTCGTTAATTTCTTGGCACAAACCCTTCGAAACTGCGTTTACGCATAGAGCCGGGATCGCTGAAGCATCCTATAAGAAACTTAGGCTAGTGTGGAATAGTAATTTGCAGTATTGAGAAAAGCTTAAAATCTTCCAATCGGTTTTCATTTCCACGCTAATTTATGGTCTGGACGCCCTCACCCTTCAGGATAAACACCTAAAGCGAGTGGATGCCTTCTATTTCAGGTTCTTACGACGTATTGTTGGCATTAAAGCATCATACTATTCAAGAATCTCGAACGCGGAAGTATATAGAAGGGCCGGAAACCCCCGAAAACCATCAGATACCCTGAACAAATCTCAGCTTAAGATGGTTAAACAAGTCTTTACTGCTTCAACCCTGGACCCGCTGCACCACGTGGTCTTCAGCCCTGCCCTTAAGGATAGAATTCCGGTCGAAGGAGGGGTGGTAAAATTCCTTACTGGGTAGAGATCACAACTCAGCGTCATTTCAGGGAGGATTGGAACCGTTGCTCGAGATATGGCATACTAGGACCAAATCTAGTATATGCTGAAATATCAAGATCTCTGCAAAGTTTGCCCGACGCGGCGCCAATGCGCGCAAACCAGCACGCACGGCCCTAGCAAAAAAGCCCCAATCCCTAAAGCCTAAATTTGGACCCGCCCCTCCATTAGCTGGATCAATGTTAGGGATCCTTTATACTTCTTGGGGTATGGGATTCCTTATATTTGTGTAAAAAGGATCCTTTTTTCTTCCTAGGGTAATATGGGCTAAGTTAGGAGGAGCTCCTTGAGCCTGTGTGCCTTTGTGGAGTGGGTCTGCAATGAGTTTTCAATTGAAACCATTTACTTTCCATGGCGTCTTCATACAGACTCCCATGAC